AATTACATCTGCAGAGCTCCGCCTCAGAAGCGCACATTGTCGTATCTAATTTATTGCAAGCGCTGGTTTTTGCACATTTCTTGGCTTTGCTATATAACGCCTTGTTAATGCCGCGTTTTACGAGCCACGCCGCGTGCGATATGCCATAAATCTACGCTGAAACCAAAAGTTCACACCTCACAAAGGAGCCGAGGGGCACATAAATAAGATAGCATATAAATCGGACGGTGGTAATAGAAAAAGTGCGGAACTACCGGTAGAGATGGCTGTCGTGCTGCTGGTGTTGGTGTTTGGCCTCGTGTTGGCGCAGGTAAGGCTTAGGATGCTTAGGCTTATTCTTAGGCGGTGCTTTCGTAATATCGGGGGGTTTGGTGTTGAGCCCATTTTTTCCAGTTTCAAGGTTTTTAAGTCCAGAAATTCTTGGAAACATAATAATAGGTATTTTAATAGTGGTTTTAGTAAAATTTAACGCTATTCCAATGCAAAAACTATATAAGAACTTTGAAATTGTTCTAAAAAATCCGAAATTTCTATCAAAATTAGGCGGTGTTTGGTCGAAAATCGGTATTTTGGGATTTTTTATGCAAATTTATAACGTTTCTAGGTTTAGCAATCATATAAAAAAACAGTTGAAAAAATTCCTCTCTTCTGATTACAAAAAAAATGGTTACAAGAGCAAAAGGTTGGCTTCCCTGATACTCCCTCCCCCGTTAACGCCAAAGAACCCCTTCAGATTGGGCTTATGCAGGCCATGCTTAGGCCTGTGAGTACCTGATACTTTTTTCCTTATTAATTATTCTCCGTTTTCAGCCACAACTATTACCTATGCAACTTCCGGCCGCCGAGGCCCCGTTGGTCGTTAGCCAGAATGTAAGGGATCTTCCTTTTTTTCTCCAAATGCCACCCTACAGGTCGATATCAACATTGACCTCGATTTCCTGAAAGATCTCCTCAAAAACTCGGACGATGAGTGGAAAAAGAATTGGGACAATGATAGTGATGAGGATTGGCATAAGCATAGCCATCGGCACAGCCATAGTCGAGGTGACAGCTCGGAAGAAGACCCTCCAGGACCGTGGCCCGGCCCCGGGCCCAGGCCCGTACCGGGACCCGGGCCCAGACCTGGACCTGGAACACAGTGTAAGTTATTAATTTGTTCGGATTAGATTCTTTGGCATTAACGGGGGGGGGCTTACCTTTTCCCCAAAAATGCGGAAATTCCTAATAAAAGGTTTTTGTTTCATAAAAACAATAAATAGTTTCATATTAATAGCAATTAACTGTGTTTGATTAAAATATGCCTAATAACTAATAGTAAGCGTTTTATAGTGTTTTAGTATAATTTCGCTATATTTAAAGCTAGAAAATGCATAGAAAATTTCGACATGTGGATAGAAAAACGGCCATTTATCGTGGAAAAATCTATATGTTTGTATTGTTTAATAAAAATCTATAAAGCTTTTGCCTTTAGGAATACTAAAAAAAGAGTTTCTCTATTTATATTAGAAAAATTGGATGCTAGTTATAATTAGAAACTTAAGCTGTTTAAGATAGGTATCGTCAATGCTCGGCGTCTAAAGGCGGCATCAGAGGTGGCCCGGTGAGTTTTTACAATGTTATCAATCTTATCGCAATTAAATTACCCCATAAACTCCGTAAATTCTAGTGGATCGTCCCGACGATGATGGCCGGCTTCCGGGGCCGAGAAATCAGCAGCAACATCCCAAAATGCAAACAAGCCTGCTACCGAGCGCCCGGTTGCCAAGGTTGACGACAATATACCAGAAAATCTTAGCAAATGCCATGCAGGAATTGAGGTGCACGAAGGGAAATGCTACCAAGCATGGGGCCAGTGGATCTCGAACCTTCCAAGGAGTGTCAGCAACATCGAGTGGAAGGCTGAGAGCTGCTTCCTAGGTAGATAACATCTGAAATCGTCAATTTTTCTCATTAGAACTGAAGAAAAGCCTGGTCGGAATGCCGCGTTGGTATATCGTGCAGCAGGATAAGCATGCGTGGAATTTCCCGAAACCCCCGAACCCCTACTACCGCTCCATGACGATGAACAAGGAAAATGGGTACTGGTTTACCTTGTTTCCTTAAAAAATATTTCTAAAATTGGTTCTTTCGCATTAGCGGGGGGGTGAAAATTTTTGGGCGCTATTTCAGTTTACCGGCCCCACTTATATATGGCCAAAATGACATTTTTCTGGGTCAGTTTTTTGTGCTGGTTACGGTAAACACTATCCCGGCTCACGAAAATGCGATTTAGAAAAACAATTTAATTGGTATGTTGGGAAAATTCCATTTTACGGCGGTCGCGTAAAAGGAGTATTTATGTGGTTTTTTTAATTAAATAATGGCCAAAAACGGGTTTATCATGAATGAAGTAAGCCAGTAGCATTGTCAGGCAAGGCGGGCCGTCGCTTCGGATGGGCTGCCGCTCCACTCTTTCGAAATCGGGGCGCCTGGCCGCTTCGCGCGCCTCGGGTGCCCCTATTTCGAAACCCTGTACGAGCTCGCGCCCATCCGAAGCGACTAGGCCCCGGGGTGGCACGAAGCCTTATTTTTAGAAAAAAAAAAGCGGATGCAATCGCTCAGCCTTCTTGGAAAAAACTTTTCTACTGATTTACAGGCCTCCCGCATCAAAACCCCTTTAAAAACCAAACCAGAAAACTGAAAATTAAGTGTTTTCTCCCCTCCAAATTCACGATTTGGCGTTCTAGATTTTGGTATGAAAGTAATTTTTTCTCATTAGATTGCATTTTTACGAGCTGGGGTGTCTTTTCTCGTAACCAGCACAAAAAACCGACCGAGAAAAATGTCATTTTGGCCATATATAAGTGGGGCCGGTAAACTGAAATAGCGCCAATTTTTGTATTAATCTAGAAATGTCTAATAAATTAATATGAAGTATTTTCACAATGCTTTTAGAAAACTTTGAAAAGATTTTTGAAAGTTCTACGTTTAGCAATAGTAAAAACAGATTATCGGCTATTTATTCGTTCCTAAGAAACCCTCCCCCCCCCCCCGATAATGCGAAAGAACCCTAGAATGTTCTGCATTTCGAAGAGCCCGGTGACGAGCTGTAATCTGGTGCAGCTGTCGGAAAAAGACCGTGGGTATTTTTGGCCATTTTCATTAAAGTCGGCTAAGTTGCGTAAAGCTGTGCAATCCGCTGATCCCAAATCCGGGGTCAGGTGGTGTTTCTGAAGAGATCTCGAGAGAGAAAGATCAAAAACTAATCCAAATTCAGATCGTTTGTCGGTCGGGCTGGCCGGCACGAGGGTCGGATATGTGGCCAAAGAGCAAGGTGAATGCGGGGCCCATCTGGTAATATTTAAAAAGCTCGTTAAAAAGTATTTTTCTGATTTAGCCCGTCTGGGAGTATCGCAGGACTAATGGCGGTGAGCTTAACTATTTCGAAACCCTTGATACCTTCTACTTTTCCAATAAAAGTTTAGATTATGTCTATTTACCGGCAGGCTTCCTCCCCAAGACAGCCCACACGAAAGTCGGCAGGTAGAATAAACCCAAGACTCCTGAAGCATCTAAAATTCAGGCTCTTCTACGCCTGGGTGAATTATGGCGATCGAGTGCGAAATCTCCGGAACTGCCAGCCCTTTGGCCCGTAAATGACGGCTAAGAAGACGTTTACCTAATATGATTTTTTGCAAAAATAAATTATTACTCGAATGACGCGAGCTCGTGTTTTGCGAGTGCCCTTTGTGCCGAAACACTGGCCCTCCAGCACTACAGCGGTAAAACCGAAAAATAAACAAAGTTAAAGGGATGCCGACGGCAGGGTAAATGGGTTACGCCGGGGAAGAAAGGGTTTTTCCCCTCTCTCCCGGGGGGGGTCTCTCCCTTGTGGGCTACTTTTTATTTGGGGGGGGGGGCGGCGCCGGCCGCCCCCGCCCCCTTAAATAAATTAAACCAAAGCCAATAAATAAAGCTAGTGTTTTTCATCTTTGAAAAAAATCATGGATAAAAAATTCCATAGTGCAACGCCTTGCGCCAGCCCTGAATGGGTATTGGATCGGAAAACCGGATACCGTAAATTTTTTTTGTTTTCAAAAATAAATTTCTCGTTTTGTTTCACCGTTTTGAAATTTCCGAGTAATTTTATATATTAGGCGAAGTACCTTATAAAACTAAGCTTTTTGGCTGTCTTGACGGCAACCTTACAATGTTTGTTAGATGTTTGAAACGCGTTATGAAACTTGACAGCTTACCTTCAGGAAATTACGCCCATTCTCCCGTGTTTATTCCTACTGTTTCGGGAGGGTTTCGTGTTAATTATTTGGTTCAACGCGCGCATAAAAACTTCTGTACGCGTGGCCGTTTTAATCTGTGTTTTTTTGGTTCTTTTTTTTTGTTTGAAAAAAATTTTTGCCTAGCCATTTGTATAAATTTTTTTTTTTTTTTTTTTTTTTTTTTTTAAAAAAAAAAAAAAATAATTAAAAAAAAAAAAAAAAAAAAAAAAAAAAAAAAAAAAAAAAAAAAAAAAAAAAATTTTTTTTTTTTTAAAAATTTTTTAAAATTTTTTTTATTTTTTTTTTTTTTTTTTTTTTTTTTAAAAATAATAAAAAAAAAATAAAAAAAAAATTTAAATTTATTTAATTTTTAATAAGAAGACAAAGGGAAAAAAGGTTTTAAAATATTTTTCCTTAAAATCGAAATTCTTTCTTTCCATCCAGGACTTTTCCTTATTCACTTACATCCACGATTTTCAGGTAACAGATCTCACCTTGGGTTGAACGTTCCCAAATGGCACAACTGGCCGAGCTGACGCCACGCCGCAAGCCGGCGTGTGCCGCTTTCTCGTGGACACGAAGGCGCAGGCGCGAGATCGGGCTGGATGGCGAGAGTTTGCGAGAAAGGTACTCGCACCCGAATTTCCTTTATTATAAATTTAGGTGAACAATTTCCTGGCGCCGCTTTCCGCCGTCGATGAGCGCGCACACAAAGTGGTCAAAAATCACTTTCACGCATACCTGATGCCGAAGCCCGACTTTGCCGACTACTTGCTGAAGACGTCTGGAGACGAATATTACCTGCGAGCGCAATACAAAAACGTCGTCGCCGCCGACAAGTACCATCTGGTGCTCAGGGCGCCGGTACATGTGATCCCAAATTTGGATGGCGATACGTTGCTCTTATTCGAGGTACATTTTGTGAAAATGTAGTGGATTGTTAACCACAACGTAGCTTGCTTATGGTATTTTTTGCATTCCAGATATTTCGGCGCCTTGGCTTCCCGGAGGGATCGACAAAGTTCCTTTTTCTTGGAAACTACGCTGGCGACACGGCTTTATCGACGGCACTGATGAATTTCATGCTGGCGCTCAAGATTGTATGCCCGGACAACGTCTTCTTGCTGCGTGGAAGGGCGGAAATCCCCGATGGGATCCGACCATTTGCGAAGAAATACTGGGAGCGACAAGTGCGCGAATGGCAAGACATTTTCAAATGGATGCCCGCGTCCGCGTCGATCTTTGACCAAGGCGCCATCTTCTGCACGAACCACGGACTTGGCTTGCCCTACACCACGAAGATGATAGAAACACGTCTAAAGATGACACTGCCGCAACGATTTGATATGGAACAAAGGAAGGTGCAGCCGATTTGTCGTGACACCATGGACGTTGCTATGAAGTGAGTTTTTTGCTGTTTTCTAATATAAATGGGGGGCTTCTTAGCTGGTTTCGCTGATTTAAAGATTACTAAAAATAGCTTTTCGATCCAAGTTTTTAAAACGGGCTCCTAGCTTTTCTGATAAATACGGAACCGCCAGTCCAAGTTCTTTTTGTTTCATTTCAATTTTTCAGAAACTTCATGAAACGGGAACGCGTGGACCTGGTGTGCGAGGCGGCCAACCACCTTCGTGAGGCTTGCATGCTTGCATCAGACATGGAACGCCTCTACCTAGGCCACAACGAAGACCCATTGCTGAAAACGTAACACCCTTCCAAATTATGTACAGTTTTTAGGTCGGAGGCTGTCATCCTGTGCGTTGAGGAGAATTGTCGACAGTTGATGTGCTTTGAATGCGCGGGCCCAAAAACATAGGCATACGCATTCGAATGAGTTGTTTTTTATTAGAAATATAAATATTATAAATATGAGTTTTTGATCACCGAAATTGCGAGTGGAGAGAACTTGAAAAGAATTGGCAGCTTCCCCCGGCCTTTCTGTACTCGTTTCGAGCGTTTTTAGGCTTTTTTTTCAGGCTTTCTTCAGTCCTTTCAAATTTTGAAATTTTGCATTGCGTTTTGTTTGGGGTATCACTTTTCTAGCTTTTTGGTCTATAGGTTTTCTCTTTACTTCTTTTTCGATGCGCGCAACGTTAGGCGATGAAATGGGCGAAGGTCCCGGATAGCCGCAGGCTACGGTAAATAATGGGCGCCTGGAGCCAACGCGACGTAATGGGAACCGGTCTGGCTCACAGCTGGCCAAGTCAAGGAAAGATCGAAAATGAGGGGTGTTGAGGACTGATATGGCTTGCCCGAACACTGCCAACGGGAATCCCACTTTTTCTTCGATTTCAGCGTGTGTTGGCTAGGCAAAACGGCGCGTGCATTTGGACCTCTTAAAGTACCATTGTTTTGGGAGTGTGACATGTGAAAATATAGGGCAAAAAGTTTGGAGGATATCTCATTTTGACGCATTCAATAACTGGGGAATTCGGAAGTTCTTGTCACCCAGTGTTTTCCTTTCCGTGGCCGTCCCCCCGTTCCGCACACACGCGAGAGGCGCCGTTACGCATCGATCCCGATCGGCCACGTCGCCATTGACAGTCTGTTCTGCGGCAGGCATTTCCCCCAGAGCATGGCTGTTTGACGCATTTTCCGGCTAAAAGCTGCTTTAAATTCGATCAAATCTGATTCCCTTTTATTTTCTCTGCCCAGGCTTCTAGCAGACTTGAATTTACCGATATTTTTCAAGAAGTCTTCCAAAAAATTACAGCGCTCATCTCTCTGCGATTTTATGGATCCTTTCACAATTTGAACTTGTTCTCCGTTTTTTTCATACGACCCGGATTCAAGCAAAAAAAATATCGTCCACTTTCAGGATGGGCGACGGGGAAACCGGTCCATCAAAGGTCGATCTCCAAAATGCCATGCGCAAGCTGCGCAGTTTACCCGCAAACAAGGTATATATTTTTTTTCTTCGCTAAATTCTTTTGGATTATAGACCTGCTTTGACTGCGGTGCGCGCAACCCGACCTGGTCCTCCGTCACCTATGGCGTTTTCTTGTGCATCGACTGTTCGGCTGTACATCGTAACCTGGGAGTGCACATCACTTTTGTAAGTTTTATAGTTTATAAAGGTGCGCCCGACCGAGCTTTCGCTGGACCTATCAACAAATCCTTCGTTTTACAGGTCCGTTCGACCAACCTCGATCTCTGCTGGACTTGGGTTCAATTGAGACATATGCAAGTCGGCGGAAACGCGAATGCCGTAAGGAATTATACTATTCTGTTAAAATTTTCGCTGGTTTAGACCCAATTCTTCAAACAACACGGCTGCAACACCAACGACGCCCAGATAAAATACAAAAGTCGCGCTGCCAACCTCTACAAGGTGTGTTTCCGCTGATCTAGATGATTTTGTCAATCTTTCGGTTCTCAAATCCTGTTTCAGGAGAAACTTGCTCAGCTTGCCCAACAGGCTCAGCGGGCCAACGGCAACAAGCTCTACATTGAATCCGGACCAGCCAGCGCGCCCGATCCTGAAGAGAAGGTTCTATAGGATTTTCGTTTTACCGTGAACAGCGTATTCAGGGTGACGATGATTTCTTTGCCCAGGACCACTCCTTCGAGGCCACCCCCGTTTCCACACTGACCCCTTCTCAGGTATAAAATTACGCTTTATTGAAATAGCGCATCATATTTCCGCCTAAATGCGCTTTTTATAGCTTTTTCCGCAAAATTGAAGTTGCTTCAGGTACACACCTCCAACTCGACGAACTCGCTAGGTGCCGATGCTTTCATCAACGACGAGTCGCAGGGCCCGCGCGTGGATCACTTGGACTCGGTTGCTGCCTCTACTAAAGCGCCTGAGGTATGGAAGTTTTTTTCACCCACTTACCTCTCATCCAGGTCAAGTCCGTCCTCCTAAAAAAGCCGATCAAGAAGGTCGGCGCGGCTTCGAAGAAGGGTGGGCTCGGTGCTCAGAAGGTAATTCCTGCCAAACAAACAATCATTTTCTTTTTGTAGCTCAATGTTAACTTTGATGAACTGGAACAGAAGGCCGCCCTGGCTGAGAAAGCGGCGCTCGAGGCCGCAGCTGCCGAAAAGTTGTCGTACAAGGAGGAGGAAGCCGCTGAAGATAAGCCAGCCGTTCGCGAGATTTCCGCCCGGCTTGCCATGCAAAATATCGACGACCAGCGCAAGAAAAACGAGGTTTTATTGGCTAAGGTATACTAACGGAAGTGTATTTTAGGCTAAAGTCAAGGATGACCCGACAAAAGCCGCAACGGTTGATCGACTCGGCATGGGTGGTATCGGGCGTGGTGGACAGGCTCGCGGCATCCACTCTCTCACTTCTGGTATCCGCACTATTCAGCAGGTGGCTTTTATTCTAGCCTTTTTTTAAATTCTGTTTAGAATGACTCTTCCCGAGCCTTCGCCCCTCCGCCGCCGAAGGAGGATGACTGGGAGGTGGTGAACAATAATGACTTTGGTCATGAGGAATCGACTGGTGGCAGTGGAAAGGTAGGGGAAGGGCTACGTACAAAATGTGGGAATTCAGATCAAGAAATCCTCCAAATCCCACACAAAAAATTTCGACGTTATGATATTTTAACATCTTGGTATTTCGACTCTATCATAGCAAGCCCAAAGAAGCCATCAATGTTTAGCTGTTCCTTTTAGGATGACGATCTTTGGACGACCGACTTCACGAAAAAGAAGGCCGAGAAGGAGGACGATTTCTTCGATTCCTTTGAGAGCAAAAGGTATTCGTCTATCACTTTTTCAAAGCTTTTCTTTAGCAAACCGTCGGGCTATTCGTCGAAAAGTCAGCCCACCGGCTACTCAAACCGCGGGAACAGCGGCCCACAGAATGCCGTCGCCAATGACGTAAGTGTATTCTTCATTCGATTTGACCGGCTTTAGGTGGACCCGAAAAAGTTTGCGAACGCGAAGGCCATTTCTTCAGAGATGTACTTTGGCAAGAATGAGATGGACGTAAGTTTTTTGCTGTGTGTTTTGGGTCAGGTATAAGATGTCGTTTTTTTTGGTGATAATGAATTTTTCGATCAAGAGCTAGAAAACGTCGAGCTTGCAATCCTGAACAAGCCCATGATTCAACAAAAATTACTCGGCGTCTTCTGACCATTTCCGTTCGGCCATTTTTGAAAGATCCGGCTTGTTCAGGATTCAGAATTTTATTTATCCGATGAGCCATGCGAAAACAAAAAAAAAAAAAAAAAAAAAAAAAAAAAAAAAAAAAAAAAAAAAAAAAAAAAAGAGAAAAAAAAAAAAAGAGGAATTTTAGATTAGATCGCAAAACACTATTATCACCTCTGAAAAACGACTTACAGTTCTCCTGTAGAAAAACCCCTAAAATTTTTCAATTTCAGTTTGAGACCAAGGCGGCGCTCAGCCGGTTCGAGGGCCAGACGTCGTTGGGCTCGGCGGATCTGTGGGGCGGCGGCCAGCAGGCTCAGCCCAGCCAGGTAGATTGTTTTTGCGAAGCAACATTGATTTCCTTAGATGCCTGACATGAGCGACATCAAGGACAGCATGCGTGCCGGTGCGAGTAAAGTTGCCGAGAAGATCGGCACCCTGGGCAGCGCTTTCAGCAGTTACATGGGGGTGAGCTTTTTCGCGTATTTCACGGGTCTGCACCGGCCCGTGCGCCGATCCCACGTGAAGAACGAGTGAAGAGCGAAGTGCCCCCCTCCTGTCAACCAACCATCTCCATTCACACACCCCGTTTTGCCCCCCGATTCTCATACCCAGCCGTACACTTCCAATTCCCCCTATTCAGCGGACACCGGCCTCAAAGTCCTAACGAGGCGTACACGTATACCCAACGTAAGCCCATGTATATATTAGTTGCGTGGGGTTGCTTTTTTTCTTTTTATACAGTGTTTAGTCTTTTATAGTTTGTTCTTTTAATTTCCGGGTTCTTGCGCAATATCGGGGGGGAGGGCTCCTGAGGATAGAATTTTCCTAAAGAACTGGAGGAAGTTTTTCTTTTTAAATTGTTTTTGCACTAACTGAAACGCTAAGAATGCGCAAATGTTGATCAAACGATACAAAACTTTCGATTTCCAGGGCAACAATTCTCTATTGCCGTCCAAATTGAATTTTGAACGATATTAACAGGTTTTCTAATTAGCCTTCCCACTTGAAATATGGCTAAGTTTCACATAAAAAATGTTTTAAAATACTTTCAAGTAGGTTATTACGCATTTTTGGACTTGTAGGGACAAAAAAATTGGGTTTCCCCCTGATATTGCGAAGGAAATATATTGTTTTTTTGTGTCAATGTGTAGTCTCCTCTTGGTTTTCGTCTCTTGCCACCGTCGTGACAAGCTTTCCCATGTTTTATGTTGTGCTTTTTAACCCGAGTAAACGTGTGACCGCCTTCGTGTCGTTTTTGGGGTTGGTTTTTACTGGGACCAATTTTTTTCTGGGCTCGCTTTGGTTGCTTCTGATGCTGCGAGATGCGCAGTGCTGTCGCGGCGGCGTGTGGCTGCCATTGGAACTGGGGTTTTTGTTGGGGATCTTTCTGGCGTTTTGGTCCACAAAATCGCGATACATTGATGCACTTTTCAGAACTACTAACGCCCTGGCCTGCGGAATGGAACAACGACAAGTCAACCTTATTACAAAATTAAATTATTGAAATGTGATATTCCCTAGATCCATTGCGAATTCGCCAACCTTTCAGCTTATGTTTTGGCTTCGCATTCACCTCCGTCCCCCTTTCCCCGACGGCATATCGACCTCTCTTTTTTTGGTGGCCACCGGTTTTTGTGCCCATTCTCTAACAATCCCTCCCTTTCCGTGAACTGGTCTTGTGGCATTCGTGTTTTTTGAATATTAGATGTG